TCTGCTGGCATCTTTGGTGGCTGCCAGCCAACAACATAACGCGTCCTAACCAAGGCCAGTATTTGTACTGGCCTGCAACCAAAGACAGTGCGATAATGAGAAAAAACATTTTCCGCTTACTACAATCGAGTTTCGAGCCGTGGGGAAAACTGTCAGATGGGCTCCGCGCGGTGGTGGTTCTTCAGCCTCCCGTGGGGAAGGATTTAAAAAGCTGCCTCCGTGGGCTTAGGGACACAGAAGGGCAGGGGCGCTAAACCCGCGTGCCGGGCTCGTCCGGACGCCGGCACTCACCCGTCACGCTTGCAAAACTGTGCACAAAATACCACCCTGGACGCAAGTGCCTGAGCAACCAAAGAAACAACCTGTAGGTCATAACGTTAATGAAAACAAGTCGCCTGCTTTCAGCTGCTGTTACTAGAGAGGGCCTTGAATGCAGCCCGCAGATCAGGAGGTCAGCGCCCGCGCAGGACCCAGCCGCAGACCAAGCACCCACGGAGGAGGAAAAATTCCTGAAACCAGCTCAAACTGCTCGGCGCCCTTTTGGATTATGTCAAAGCCGGCACATCCCGGTTCACGCAGCCCCTGCTCGGGGACGGCCCCGGGGCTCGGCGCCGGGCAGGGACGTGCACCTCCCATTACTGACAGCCGGGGACGCACGTCCAAGCCCGCACCCACGGCCTCCAGAACGGCTCTCGACAGCCAGCGTGACTAACGCTGCTGAGGATGAGGAGGCTAAAAAAAATATGAAATGAATAACTACTGTACGGAGTAGCCCTTTATCCTTGGAGAATCAGTGAACCTGCCTTTCCCAAGAAAAGCAAGGAGGCTGCGTGCACGCGTGTGCTCCGATTAATCTCATCGGTTTGTTTTCCTGGAAACTAGACGTCCCAGATGCCACCGTTCCCATTATTAAGGCTCATCTGCTCTGTTTTCAGCCTGATTTTTCCCGTAGCCTGCTTTGCTTAGCTGGCCTTTTTAAAAGAAAAAAAAAATATAAACGTTCTTAAACAAAATACTATTAAATTAAAATGAGGACATAGTTGCAATCATCAAATCCAGGTTTGTTACGTGTTTAAAAACACATATAGAAATCCTGAGCAGTGGCACAAAGAGTAATTCAATTTTTAATAGTTGCCATGCATATCACACCAGAATTTCAAAAGGAGACTTTCTGTTCCTGCAAAACACTGATGTCTCTGGTGACGGTAGAGACAAAGCCTTTTGAAATTTAATATTTTTTTTTTTAGCCATAACTGTTACTGAAACAGTCCTACTGTAGGCACAATATAGTCATTTCTCATTTGTGAGCAAAATTAGCTATTTATTTCATTCATTTTCTCAAGGAATATCTTAGAGTTTTTTTTCTTAAACTACAAAAAAGACAAAATTTATTAAAAAACATACTGGAACAAATATCTGTTTCTATTCATAATGGCCTCATAACTATTGCAATAACATCCAAACACAAATTAAACTAGTATCATTTTCTGATCATACTACAAAATACTTGTTTTATGGGTTAGAAAGCTCGGCTATGAGGTTGTCTGGGATTTTTTTTAAGACACGAAGCTATGTACATGGATTGCTATACTGATATTTGCATTAGAGAGAAAATAACATTCTGCTGCAGGCACAAATACAAATACGGGAAATTTTTTTCCTCTCTCAAGTGAATTACTTCTAGTGAAAGGATTCTCGATGTTTTGCTACAGGCATGCAGACTTACACACAGAGCATTATCTACGTAAACACACACACACACACAGGGCTCTGCTGAGGTTGTCTATCTGTGATGCCCTCCTCTACGCCCAGCTCCTGTGCAGGGCTATTTATGGAAAGTAAAGAAGAGACGCAGATTCAGAAACGGAAAACACTCGAAACCCAACAACTGCTGAAAACGTCGGCACAGAAAAGCAAAGTTGATAAGGAAAAAGACCGTTTCATTCAGTACGTCTCAGCTGCTTCCACACTTGGAGAGCAAAGCGATGGGGAAGTACTGCTATTATTAGCCCTTCGGTTGAGAAGCAGCTTGATTGTGGCGTTGCTTTAAGCTATCGGCAAGATGTTTTGTGATTTCCTTTGCATACACAGACAGACAGACAGACAGAGACACCACAAGACGGCACGGGGAGCATCTCCCCGCCGCCGCGCTGAGACAGACAGACAGAGAAGCACAAGGACAGCGCGACTGTGCGTACTCACAGCTCGGAGTACAGGAAGTGCAGGTTGCCCACATTGTCTATGTAGTTTGCAGGACTTAGCCAAGGTAGGACCAGCAACAGAAGAGCCTTCATTTTCAGTGCAGGGCTGGCACTGCTGCTGGGTCTCCTCCTTCCCACTTTCTCTCTGTGCTGGCGGGACAGACACCTCCACGCTTTTGTGGCAGCCAAGCCCCTTCTAAACGAGCCTTTCCATCTCAACGCAATGGTGACACGTTATGAATCGAATTTAAATCCCTGAAACGAAGCTACACTGAAAAATCATTGACCTGTAAGAGGATTACTTGATCTGATTCTCAGATGGGGAGATGTGAGGGTTTAGGGACAGCACAGCATGGTTGGCGAGACAGTGACTTATGCTGCAGAGCAGAATGATGCACGGGGAAGAGACCTGCCTCCTGCAGTATTCAGAGTGGTTCTTCAGAGGCAGCTGGTACGTTTACATCACTGCCCACAAGCAGATGGGTTACGAGCTGAACTGCATCACGGAAGGGTCTAGCTGTCTGAAAAGGGGGGAAAAATGCCCCCCATGGAGTTTTGAAGCAGGCTGTATCAGAAGACCACACCTTTTTAAAGTAAAACACTGCAAAAGATCACAGCCTACTGCTGGCTGTTTGGAGCTCAGTCTGAATTCCTCAAATCAGTCAGATGCTTTTGTGCAAATATAAATCATGTAGCAAACCAAGGACACCTCTCTTCTCACTCTTTTTTGAACGATGCAAGAGCAAACATGAAAGCGTCCTTTTAAATAAGGATGCTTTTAATGCAATGCTCTGTGGTAATCGGAGTTTAAAAAAAAATTAAAGTTCTCTCCTCAATTACAAAGCATAAAACACAGCAAACTCACTTTGTCCCATCAGTGACCTCATCTCTGAGCAGGGCAAGGTTTCTCAGTCTCTCTGAGAACCAGGATTGGTCCAAGACTGATTTATGCAAGAAATGTGAGAACTGCCAGCTACCCTGATGACTTGCATAGAGTCTGCTTTAATTTATTCACTGAGAACACTGATCACATTCAGTTAAGATTTCAGATTGGGTCTGTGCTGCTCCCTCCACAGACACCAGGTTGTTTATTATTATTATCATCATCAAAGTCACATACTTTCTCTCCTCTCTATTGATCCATCAGTCTTAGAAAGAACACCGTCATTTCAGTCTGCAATGTGCTTGGACATGCCAAGAGCTGGTGCCTGAAGAGCACGCTGCCCTTCTCGTCTCCTGCACTCTTCTGAGTTGGCAAGTGGATGGCAAGGGAGTTTTCTGCACTTGTGGGAATTAAATTAGGCAGAGGCATAAATACCTTCAGTGATAATTAACAAATACTGCATTTAAAAAATAAAAACACTGCACACTACCTACAGACACAAGGTTTCAAAATAACCCAATATGGGTCGTTCTGCTGAAACTCAGAAAGTTGCCTCTTCATTCTTCCTGTAGATAGGAATGGCAGTGAGGCTGCCCCACCTCCTAGGGAGTAGCCATGGGCTTAAACACAAAAATTTTAGTGAAACCTCCATTGGCAAAGGTACCTTATTATTTCCTGGTCCCCCTGCTGCTGCCCTTCAGCCTTGCAGTAATTCAGCCCTCCAAATCATTTGAGGAAGGAAAATAGGTTTCCTAAGTGGCAACGAAGGAGCTGTCAGCTTGTGTAGCCTTGTACTGAACTACCTGATAGGTTTTAAGATTTAACGGGGAGGGAGATCACTGCTCTGTCCCTCCAGTCCTTCCTTCTCCAGGTTTTCAAAGCTGGAACTTGGTGGGAGGAGACTTATGCAGGGCAGGAGAGAAAGAAAGATTCTTCCTACTCCTGGCTAGGCTCAGGCCAGGCGAGCCAGAGGCATACAGTCTTAAAGATCCCAAGAAAAAAATCTAGGCCACTGATATTCAGTAATAAGCACTGGAATAAAACTTGCCAGACTTTTACAGAATCAAATTTCCATTCACAACACCCCAGTTTTGCAAGGCATATATGAGAAGGACATCTATCTTGAAGAGGAGAAACCACAATACTGGAGTGACTTGCACATGTCCATATAGGAGAGTCAACACCAGAAATCAGGAGCTGTACAAACTCTTTGCCTTCTATGTAAAAAACAAGATTCCAATTTGCTCGTTTTCTGAGTTTTTTTAAATTAATTTTGTGGCCAAGGCTCCATCATCTCAAGAAAAAAGAAGTCAAAAGGGAGGATCTAGAATACATTAAAGTCAGCTACATGGATGGCAAAGGGAAAGGGTAATTGTGCTAAGTTCTCAAAATTTAATCATTGGAATCTGTAGAGAAATTGTAGCTCACAGCAAAGTATCAGTCCTTTCACCTGCATTACTGCTGAAATTTGTATTTGAGGCATGTCAGGGAAGGCAGAAAATTGTAAGCAACCTGGCTGATTTTTCCCTTCAGAAACAGAAAGCTAACCTTGCAAGAACACAGCTGACCCGGACCGGATGTTGCTCACACCACCTCTTAACATCATGAGCCAGCCGTAAGACAGCAGCTCCGTGAACAGTGAAATCTAATTCCAGAAGTGACAGGGCCAAAGCATGCACAACCCCTGTGCAAGCACCAAGCCTCAAGTATGTGAAAAGTGTGCTCTCGCCCTTTGCAAGGGGATTAGTGCTGATGTCTTTTTTTTCCCTTTTTAATAATGCAAAATCAACACTTCTGGTTGGTTAAACCACAATACTACTGCTCCGTCCCTCTGCTCACAAGCCTTCCAAGACAAAGCAGCATGGCTGAATTTCAGGAAGGTTCAGGCCACAAAGGCCAGATCCACATAGGACAAGGGATGCTCCAGCGCTCAGCAGTACTACGTCTGTTCAAGGATCTGCCCTCCAGCAGCAGTGTCTGGCACCCTGAGCTGGTTGCCCAGGGTTTCCTATGCAATGCACAGGCAGAAGCACACATCTAAGACCACAACTCACACCAGCAAACTGCAGGGGAGGTTGTTTCACTGGCTAACAGAAAAAGGTTGCAAACAAAGGTCAAGTCTTAAACACCACCTCTCCTCAAATCTGAGGTGCTCTGCTCTGGACTATACAGAAGCATTTGTCTGCAGTCAGAAATCACAGCCCTGATGGTATGTCTTCATTCCTCCTTTCAAAAAGGAGAAGACGCAAGACAAAAGCAGCAGCATATGCCTAGCAAAATGGAGGATCATTCACTATCAGCTCTCTCCTTCCATAGGATCCAAACCGATCCCTGGAGATCTCTCCTGGAGCCAGGAGGGAGGGTGTCCTGGCCACTGGGATAGGTAAGTCCAAGCTGGGAACCGGGCAAGGGAAGCTCTTCCATACCGCGCAAGAGAGCTGAAGGCTCGGGGAGCCCCATGGTGCGGTGGGAAAGTGCTCACCTGGAAGGAAGGAGCCCTCAGCTCCAAGCCATGCTCCAAAGACCAAAACAAACCAGAATATTTTCTGCTCTACTTCACATATAGGTCATTTGTGAATCAAAAGAGAGCTGAAGAAAAGGCCGTTATAAAACCCCTAATGTACGACTAAAATATTTATGATAGCTCAGCTTCCCAAAACTCACAGATCTCTTCAGATGACTAAATAGACACTTCCATTATGCAACTAACCACCAGGTATCCTCACAGAATTGCTAACAATAGCATGAAGTGCCTTGAATGTATTTGGTTCTAACAAAAGAGTAAGATATAGTCAAATAAATGGACCAAATTCAAGTCTAGGTTCCTTATATACAGGAATTCACTGGGACTGAATTTGATAAAGCTTTCTTTACGTTAACTGTCTCTTTTAATCAGTTATTCCCTTCCCTTAAGGAAAAGAGAAGTGAAAAAACCCCCACCTATCAACAAAAACTTACTGGGTTTGGAAATGCTGTTCCAGGTTGCCGCGTTGCACCACCTCTGAGCAGTGCTCTGTGAAAGGGCAGCTAACCATTAGCTTATCCAGGAGCTTATTCACGAGGATGCTGGACTTTCTGCAAGACTGAAGAATCACAAGTTTGCGATCCATGGGACAGAAGTCCTTTTCCAAGAGGAAGTTCGTCAGGCAGGCTGTGCAGAAGGTGTGACCACAGAGCGTGTCTAATGGCTGAAGCAAAGGTTGCAGGCAAATGTGGCAGATCAGATCATCATCCACTTCTTCCATGTAGCTGTACAAGTGGTTTTCTTCAGGTAAATGCGCTTGGCCGCAGGTGACGCACAGTGGCGGGGAGCTATCCTCCATCTCTTCTAGTGACTTTTTCTGGCTCATAATTGGAATTGATGCAATTCAAAAGCGGGCAGGCAAAAACACCCAACCTGTTTTCTGTTTCTGAGAGCAGCAGCGAGGCTTGCGTGCCATCAAATCTGTGGGGAAGAAAGCCAAAGAACTATGGATCGTTTTCTCTTAACACATTTATAATGGACATAAAATACCTCAGCAGTTTTCAAGGAAGGTTTGCATCTTTGGGATAGGAGGATGAGGCAGAGAGGAGGAAAAAAATGAGATTATTAACTTCAAAGACTTCATTTATTTATTTATTTTTACATCTAGCTCAACTTACCACTTTTTCTCTTTTTCAGGAAAGATACCAAGAGACAGAATGCTACAGGCATTTAAAGGTTAAAAAATTTAAATTAGCATAAAACTGCAGTCCAGGTCATCTGATTTTTGCATAGTGGTCATATTACTTCTGTTGGAAAAGAAGCAGCATCACATGTAGGCAAACAGTACACGATTGCGTGCAGAAACTAATGGTCACTGCCCAAACCACCTCCTCAGCACAGAAAGAGAAATCAGTAACTTAACCTAACACAGATGGGCATACAGACAATATACGCTCCACCAGAGGGAGAAAAGCACAGGGGCTCATAAGAATTTAGAGCTTGGGAGATGCCTGGCCATCCTCCACCCCTCAAGCTGAGCGCTTACAGTCATCTGTACAGGCACGAATACATACATTTTACTTTACAAAGCACCGAATACCTCAAGGGCTGAAGTGAAGTCCATAACACAGGGCCAAGAGCTGTATCTCTCAAGATTAGGCCTATTCCCTTCATAATTCACATTAAAGAAACCCATTACGTCCCTAACTACAGACCCAACTAGCAAGTGCTGGCCAGAATACCTGCCTGCCAGTATTTTAAAGATGTGAACACTGTGGGTGGCAGCAACACTGAATAGTAATTTATAGTTTTTACTTGATGAACCCTGACTGCTCTTTGGAGCACTTATGTCTCATTACATCTATGTTTATTTTGATAAACCTCTTTGGAAATAAACATGAAGATATAAAATATGCAATGGCCTAATTACTACTCTTGCTTGAAAATGTAAACCTTATTTGCTGCTATGCCATAACATTGTACCCTAGCTTCCAGCTTGACTTAATTTGCAGAGACAATTTGTCAGCCTCAGACACCCATGTTTCAGGGCAAATGAGGGAAAGAATAAAAAAAA